TCTATTGGCAGCCATCGGCGCTTTTAGAATCAACACACCATTTGAATCTAAAACGCGTAACATCTTATTCTCCAATCGAATTAAGTACCCTCTTTCAAGCAATTGGCCAATGCTTAAAAGATTGCACTTAATTCCCGGTATGTACAAGACATCTTTGATCCTAGAGTGTCCACCATTCTTTCTTCCGATCAAAACATCTCCTACCCCTTCGGCGCTTAAAGTAGTGTCGTCGGCAAACTTGACTTTACTCTTTGTCGCTTGATTGATTTGCACAAACCAATCCTTTCGACCCGTCATATGTGTTGAACAACCGGAATCCAAGTACCATTCATCTTTAATTTGGACTCCCTCACGCACGGTAACTAATGCATTTCGATCCGAACACATTTTTTCGCCACTTTCCAAAACAGTACAGCTGTTGTCCCACACACTATCATCACAGTAGCTGCTGCCCGGAACATCAACAATGCCATAATTCTCTTCCGTAATCATCACAAGAAGGGTATCTTCATCATCTACCTCTTCCCTAGCAACCTTCGCCTCATCCGCATCCTTTTCCTTGCGTTTTGAGCGACATTCTTTCGCAAAATGCCCAAGCTTTTGACAATTATAACACTTCACAGAACTTTTGTCAAACGGTTTGTGGGCGCTTTGATTACCATCTTTGGAGCTTCCTTCACCCTTTGAATTTTGTGGATCTTTTCCACCAAAATTCTTCTTATTTTTTGAAGTCCACTTCCCTTTCGATCTCTTGTTCTTCTCATGTAAACGCGCTTGCAAAGCGATCTCCGCTTTGGCTTTGTCGGCACTTCTCTCATCCATCCTTTGTTCATGCGCCTCTAACGAACTTTGCAACTCATCTTTACTCAAAGTTGTTAGATCCTTTGACTCCTCAATAGCCACAACAATGTTATCGAAACGTGATGTTAACAAACGCAACACTTTCGATACAACATTCTGCTCAAGGATCGTTTCGCCACATGACTTGATTTGGTTGACTAACCGGGTAATGCGCGTTATGTAATTGTTGATCGTTTCTTTGTCCTCCATTTGCGTTAACTCGAATTGACGTTTGTAAGTTTGTAACCTTACCACCTTCGCTTTGACGGCACCGGCATACGCTTTCTCCAAGATTTCCCATGCTTGCTTCACGGATTCACAATCACCAACCTTCTCGAAATTGTCGTTATCAACACAAGAGTGAATCAAGAATAGGGCTTTGTAATCCTTTTTCTTTTCTTCCTTGTGTGTAGCCCTACGAGCATCGGTAGCATCTGCCCCTAATGGTGTAACTCCATTGATGACGATCTCAAGAACCTCTTGATAACCAAACAGAACCTTCATTTGTTTCGCCCATTTGTCGTAGTTCTTCGAATCAAGAATTGGGAGATTGGTGGGAATTCGATCATTGGAAACGGTAGCCATTGTTGGTGTTGCAGCGGATTGGGATCAATAACCAATGCTCTTGATGCCAAATGTTAGAACAAGCACAAAACCTTGTATGTGAATCAATGGAGATGATGGATAATTTTGGTGAAATTAGAGGATTGGGGAAGATCAAGTTTTGAGAGAATAAAGATTAATTGAGAGGGTAAAAAATCATATGGCATTAATTCCATTCAACATGTTACAAAATGTATATATGGTGCCTGCTAACACTAAACAAAGTAACAAAACAAAAGCTAAACAAAACAGCCTAAAAACAGAAATAATTTTTTCGGTTTTTCCTGCAGCATACTGGCAGCTTTTCCAAAATAGCTTCTCAAATAAGCTATTCTCCAAAAACACTTCAAAACCAATTACACTGCATTTGACTTATTCTAATCATTCAACAAAAACGACATAAATGTTTATCTGAATCTATTAATTGAAAATTTTCGAGTTTTATGGGAGTAATATGTTGATATTGATGATGCACATTCAGGTAAAAAGTTTAATATATGTGCCATATTATTTTGCACAATCAATAAATTTCTTGCATATGGTAATTTGTCTAGATACAACGTCAATAGACATAAAGCGAGTCTTATCTCGGGAATCAAAAACCCAATCATTTGTATGTAGATTGCAAAAGGCTTTTAATGGAGAGAAATAGTTTGATGTCCCTCCTAAACCTTTAAACGAGGAGGAAGTTTATAAGCAAAAACAACACATTAATGTTATCTTTGGAAAGAATAAAAAAGGGTCTGCTAAGAAAAATTTATGGATAAAAAGGTTGTGTTCTTTAATCTTATTGATCTAACCTTGATGCAAGACATTGTCTTGATGTGATACTTGTAGAGAAAAATATGTGTGATAGTTTGATTGGAACACTTCTAAATATTCAAGACAAAAAAAAAGATGGTAACAATTCTCATCTAGATATAGTGGCGTTGGCATACAACAACAATTGATTCTAAAAGAATTAGGAAAAAGAACATACTTACCCCCAACATGTCACACTCTATTTAAAGAGGAGATTGAAATTTTTATAAACCTATCACACTCTTAATACTTTTCTTCAAATATAAAACTAAAATAAACAAACATATCTCTTATATCATTATTATAATTAAATTATCATTTATTTGATTTAACTAATATATAAAAAAATTAATTATTCTTGAATACTAAGATAAATTACATTGAATAGGTTTAATTTGCATTAGATTACATTCTTTAATAAATTACAATTGTTTAGAATAATACTCTATTTTTTATTTACTTCCTAAAATATATAAAAATAATAAATAGTTTTTAATTATATAAAAAATATTTCTTATATGAAATTATTTGTATTAGTATATATTATTCAATACTACTAAGTTACTTGTATAAACACTTATTAATAGAGCGTCAAATTAATTAATTTTATTTTATTTTGGTTTTTCAAATTTGTTTTCGATTTAGAATATCAAATACCAATTTTTTTGACCAAATTAATTTGTTTTTATAAAAATTGATTTAATCAAGGATGATTTCTTTTATAAATTTGTTTAACAAAAATATCATATAGTTGATGAAATAATATATTATATTATAACATAATACAATAAAAATAATTGATTTGAAAAAAATGGTAGCATATTTTTTATAAAAAAAAATATTAGCAATTATATTAAAAAAAATATACAAATGAGTCAATTACGATTGAAAAATAAACAAATTTCTTATGAAAGAAAATAATTTATTATTCTTTGTATATTTAATACAAAAGGATAACGTGGAAAATCTAAATCATAATAAAAAAATAAAAAATAAAAGAATAAAGTACCATGTCACACATTCACCAAATCTACTTAGAGCATCCACATCCATCGTATCCATTTGAGTTCTTTAAATGGGATCCACATAATTTTTTATATTATTTCACACTTTTCAATTTTTTAAACAACTCATCTACGATTCTCAAATATCCATGTATCTCATCAAAAAATCTAAAATAGGTCTCACATTTAAAACAAATCAACTACATTCTTACAATTTTATTTATTAATTTATTATCATGACTCACTTAATTGGAGTGTAGAAGCGTGCTTTAGTATGAAAACGTGTTTTAGTTCAGGAACGTGAAAACAAGTGAAATATCCATTTATTATTGACACAATTTCTTTAATATATGTGTAAGAACTCTCAAAGAACACCGATAATCATGCTCTTAGTGATTTAATAGAGAAATATTTATTGTTAAATCATAAAATATATCATTTATTCAATATATTATAACACTATCATTTCATTTTACGGGATAAATTTAAAATATTAATTAATTAATTCAACTTTATTTTAGTTTTTAATATTTGTTTTGGCTTTTAACAAAATTTTTTGACCACTTTTATAATAATTAATTCGAATGATTTCTCTTATATTTTTTAGATAAGAAAATATTATATATTTAATAAAAAATGATATATGATAATTTAATATGGTACAAGAAAAAATAAAATTGACTTGAAAAAATATTAATTTTTTTAAAGATAAAATGTTAATATTTATACTAAAAAAATGATACAAATATTTATTTTTATAAAACAAAACATGAGACAATTATGATTGGAAAATACACAATCTTTTTTATGAAAATATAATTTTTTTATTATTTTTATATTTTATATACATTTTTAAGCATCACTATATTATATTTATTTATTATTTATAAATTGTACGACCCATACGAACACACATATAAATGACTACTTAATTATTTCGTTTATTTTTTCTTCTAAGATATATATTTTTGACGGCCCGAGACTACTTAATTTTTATATCTTTTATATGTATTTTTAACTATCACTATACTATATTTATTTACTATTTATAATGACATTACGCGTCCCGTGCAAACACACAAATAGATGATTACGTAATTATTTCCTTTATTTTTTTTATTAAAATATATATTTCCAACGGATCGAGACTATTTAATTTGTATTTAATTTATACACATTTTTTAACCATCACTATATTATATTTATTTATTATTTATAACGATATTATGTGACCCCTTCGAACACACATATAGATGTCTACTTAATTATTTCCTTTATTTTTTTACTAAAAATACGATTTCGATGAGAGGAGATTAATTAATTTATATATCTTTTATATACATTTCTTAACCATCATATATTAAATTATATACTATTTATAATAATATTGCGCAACTCGTACGAACACACAGATAGATGACTACTTAATTATTTTATTTATTTTTCAACTAAAATATATATTTTTAACGGGATGAAATTACTTAATCTATATGTCTTTTATATGAATTTTTTAACCATTAATATACTATTTTAATAAATGGAGATAAATTACAAATATTTTTATAAACGGAATAAAATCAATTGTTGATACATTGTACAATTATTTTTATAAAAGAGAATAACTTACAAATATTTTTATAAACGGAAAACAATTAACCGTTGATACAATTAATTTTATAAACGAAAATAAGTTACAAATATTAATATAAATGGACACACGATTTCTAAAACCTTTCACCACCTAGCAAAACCATGAGTGTGAGGCGTAGCATACTACGGCTATTACACCTTTTAAACATAAAAAACACAAACTTTAATGTTACAACAACATCAATATTAATTTAATAGATTTTATATATGTGTCTGTTTAAAGTGTATTACATCATATATTTATATATTTTTCAACGTATTTTCTATGTATATCTTAACGACTATTATGACCTAATAAATTAAATTAATATTAAAAGATAACATCATCAACCCGTTAGATTAAATTTTAATCAAATGTTAATTACATGTGGAGTAACTTTAAAGAGATACTCTTGGAGTAAATATATATATATATATATATATATATATATATATATATATATATATATATATATATATATATATATATATATATATATATATATATATATATATATATATATATATATATATATATATATATATATATATATATATATATAATTTGACTTGTTATATATTATTATTCTTATATCTTTAAAGCAATATTCCTTTTTCATTATTTTTAAAATTCATACAAATTTATAAAGAATATACATTTTTTAATATTTCATTTCAAATAACATTCAAGTTTCATATATTATTTTCATAAATTATATGATGATATTTTTCTTTGCTTACACACAATTCATATGATATGAAATGCATCTTTAAATTTTTAATATATAAAGTCTAACAAAATCATTGACTGAGATACAAATAATCATTAAATAGCATTAACATTTTCATATTTATAAAGTAAGAATTCAAACAAATAGTTATACCAAATAAAAAAATTGACAATAAGAAATGTCTTGCCATTGAATATAATTCAAACTCCTTCATAAACCAAAAACTTAGTTTGATCCTAGATAATTTTTCATTTTTATTCTTAAACTTTATATTCTAGAACAGGTGTGTGGATGAATTTATAACTGGCAATTAAAATTGAATTAAAAAAAAAAGGTACTACTATTTAGTTAAAATAGAAAGTAAATACATTTGAAATCTTGTTTAAATTGAGAATCAAAACACAGAAAATGATTACATTGAGAGAGTCACAGCTGTCAAGTTTTGGCAAAGGTAAGAGCTTCTTCCTTACCATAACATCCCGCTTCAAAATGCAACTGTTCCGCATCTCTGTCTTCACTCACTTCAAATTTCTCATCACACTGATTCCACTTTTCGCACCTTCTTTTTTCACTTATCACCTCATCATTATTTCATCACTATTTTTCTTTCTTTCAGAACTGTATACACAATCATGTCGAACGAGAAGAAAGAGAACGATTTTTTTCTCGACGCTAACGAAGAAGAAACCGATATCGAAGCTGTTAACTACGAGAGCGAAACTAGTCATGAAAATGATGGTGGCAGTTACGATGAACTCGATCGCAATGAAGGACAGCCTGAGTCTTTCTCTTCTCAACAATGGCCTCAAACTTTCAAGTATTCTTCGTCGAATTTGATTTGGTTTTTTTATTTTTTGATTTGATTTTGTTATAATGTTTATGATGATGATGATGATGATGATAGTGAGGCTATTGATCCTTTGACGATCAATGCTCCGAATCTTGGATCAATTCTGAGAGCGCCGAGTGTGATATACTCGAGCTTTGTGAGTCATCCGTCAAGGAGTTATTTAGAGTTACAAGATGGAAAGGCTTCTTTTCTGTCTGGGAGTCAAATTCAGGAAGGGTTTCCTAGACAGTCGACATGGTGGGAAAAAGCTTCTATTCAAATGCTTGTTCCTGAAGAATTGCCTGCTGGTTATGGATGTAGTTTCACTCAGACTATATTTAATGGTATCTCATTTCATTTCATTTTAGTTACTCTCTGTCTGTCGGACACCTGCACTCATACTTGTCTTATGTTTAATTTTTTCAAATTATTAATGATGTTGCCGTGTTAGTGTTGGGGTTGTGTTTGGGGTGTCTGTGCTTCATAGCCAGCCACGATTGCTGTTGTGATGTAGTTGCAGAGACCTCTAAAAGCTTTATATCACGGCTGCAATCCCAGCTTCTGACTGCTGTTTTGAACTATGCTTTTAATATTATGTACTTGTGCTGAATAACTGTTTAATCTAAAATACAGCTGTGGCTATGCTGCAAACCTTGATATTGCAAAAAATGATAGAAAATACGGATGATGTGGCCACAATTGTAATTGTGACGTTGTTGCAAAGACATGTAAAAAATTTATATTGCGAAATGTATTTTGTTATTTGGCGTGTAAGTTACTACAAAGCGTGCTTCCGTTATTTATTTATATTTGTAAAGGGGTAATTTTATGAGGTAATGTTGTACTTGGCTAGGGATTAATGTGATGGCTGGAGTTGGGCTTCTATCCGCACCTGATACTGTGAAGCAAGCTGGGTGGGCCAGTTTGTTGGTGATGGTTATTTTTGCAGTTGTGTGCTGTTATACAGCAGAACTAATGAGACATTGCTTTGAAAGCAGAGAAGGTATCCTTAGCTACCCAGATATAGGAGAGGCCGCATTTGGAAAATATGGCCGAGTTATTATATCAGTAAGAATGTTTCTGCTTTTTGATTAATTTTTTTTTGGAGAGAACTTGCTTGTTTTTTGCATAATCATTCTTCGTATGAAATTCCTTTGTGTCTTTTTTCAAATCCTTGCCTTTTTTAATGGTATAAATGCTGATTCAGACCCTTTTAAGAGTAAAATTATGTTCTTCTTTCTGTTATGTTCTTGCTCACAAACAATTGTTATGTTCTTCCTACTTTTGGTTCAGTTCTATTATATTTTTCTTCTCTGTTGAAGTTTTTTTGCTTTGTACTTTAGGTTTTTAATTATTAAACATGAAGGTCTCTTTTTGTGTATTTATTTTTACCCTGCACACTATTTTTATGTCTTTGCAGTAGCGGATATCCTGCTAATGGCTATACTACTACAACCTTTTAGGGGGTTGGTGCTACACAACACTATCTGGGATTAATATTAGAAACTAATAAAAACACACTATAAGTTTGTTTTCTAGTTGGAATTCTAGTGTGATATATTACTCTTACGCTAGGAATGGACTAAATAAATAACATATAAGAGACAATCCATATACGTAATGTGATGTAGCGTCCTAATATTTCACTGGTCCTGGTCATCATTATCTTATTGTTTCTCCTGGTGCTCTTTGAATTTCTTTAAATTAAATTAAATTTGTTGTGCATTTCTTGTTTCTGAATTTGCCATTTTGCTTTCCTCTATTTTTTAGGCCCCATGATATGATATTTCTCTATTTTATGATTTTCGACTAGCGTGATAGTTTAAATAATGTGTATACTGACATTTTATTTTCAATTTTTATCTTGTTGCAGATCGTTTTGTACACCGAATTATATGTAAGGGCTGCTGTACATCTATTTCCTTTTGCCTTTATTACTCTGCAAAATTTAGATGACACATATCAATTGTTTATGAGTGCAGTCATATTGTGTGGAATATATCATCATGGAAGGCGATAACCTTACTGGTCTTTTTCCCGGAACATCCTTGCATTGGGGTGGCTTGGATTTGGATGCCAAGCACTTATTTGCAATTTTGACTGCACTTATTATTCTCCCTACTGTTTGGTTGAAGGATCTTCGTGTAGTCTCCTATCTCTCAGGTTAATGGTTTTGACGATACGAAAATATAAAGTCGTGGAGACAATACTGATATAATATATAGTATATGTAGGAGCAGCTAGTTTGTATCTCCCAATGTCTATTGAAAATATTCATCCTTATTTTAAACCTCTTTTTTGCAAGCATTTACTGAGATAACTTGTGATGGTTCTGCAGCTGGAGGGGTTATTGGTTCAACTTTGATCGCTATCTGTGTGGTTGTTGTTGGGACAAGAAATGATATTGGATTCCATCAGACTGCTCCATTAGTGAAGTGGAGTGGCGTTCCATTTGCTTTTGGTATCTATGGGTTTTGCTTTGCAGGACATTCAGTTTTTCCCAATATATATCAGTCTATGGCTAACAAAAGAGAATTTACAAAGGCAATAATCATATGGTATGCTATGCTAAGTAACTTTCTTTGTCAGTGGCAACCAAGGTTTTGTTAGTTTTTATTTAAAAAAGGTCCGCGACCCATCTGGGCTGCGGCATCAAGTTTTTTGGTGTCTCTGTGACTACTATTGAGACCTCATCAGTGGCATTTGACCATCATGACTCTGTTATATCAAAGATCCTGATACAGCCGTTACCGTGACTGCAATTTAAAATCTTGATAGCTACACATGTTTTCTCAAGTGTTTTCATTTACCTCTACATTTTGTTCTTGTACAGTTTTGTTTTGCCCATGTTTTTATATGGAGGTCTCGGAACCGCGGGATATCTCATGTTTGGTGAAAAGACACTGTCTCAGATAACATTGAATCTACCACCAAATGCAATTGCTTCCAAAGTCGCTTTGTGGACTATAGTAAGAATTTTTGGGGCTGCTCTGCATTATTTTTGTATGATTTTTTTCTTTCTTTCAAGGCACATATGCGTTGTTTCTAACTTTGTTTATTTTCTCTTTCAGGCAATTATTCCGCTAACTAAATATCCTTTTCTGTCGTTAAAGTGGAACTATGCTTGATAATTTGCATTGTTTCTAATAATTATGTCATTAAAGTGGAACTATGCTTGATCATATTATGAAGGCATTATAGAATTTCAATTTGCTTTTTTCTTTTTCTTTTTCCTTTTCCCTTAACTATCAACAAATATGCTTTGATGATGAACCCACTGGCAAGAAGTGTAGAGGAATTGTTGCCTGCTAGCATCTCAAACACTAATTGGTGTTTCCTTCTTCTAAGAACAGCACTGGTTATATCTACTGTCTGTGCTGCTTTTGTGATTCCATTTTTTGGTAAGTATTAGCCTCTGTCTCTAATACAATACATTTCTATGTCTTCAAATTCAGCACACTCTCAAGAAAATTATACCACTATAGCTATAAATGGTCGGCCCTTTGCTGGGCCATGCTACAAATATCCGATACTCAGTTAGAGCATCAATCATGTTGAGAATCAAGTGTGAGGAAGAAGTCCCACATTGATTATAAAAGGGAAGATTGAGCACTTATATATGAGAGAACTCACTCATCTATCACCTTAAGGTTTTAGATGGACAAGTGGTGTGTCTCACAAAGGTGTGTCCTAAGTAAAATGCTCTCTCCTCGGAATTGCCTCTACAGTGGTATCATGAGCCTTTGGTTTTGAGATAGATCATGAGCACCAAACAATTTAATATAGAACAAGTGATATACATTTTACTCAACTCTTTGGCCGTTGTCAAAAAAGCTGGTGAAGCTTTGTCATTGCTCTTTAAGAACCAGTTCTTATCTTGGATCGTTGATGACACATTACTTTTTTTTTTAATTTCAATATTTATTTTTCTTGTTGTGCGATGATTATTAGATCATCAAATAGGCATTGAATTGTTAAATTACACTATTACAGTAATCCCAGAATTATTTTTTCATCTAACAGCTCTTATTGTCCTGAAAAATTCTTGGAAGTGCTAACTGCTAAGTTCTAATTAGATATTTGTTTATCTTCACAAGAAATGTGTTTCTATGTGTGTATATTTAGATGAAAACAATTTTATTACAAAATCTGTATTAAAAAATCAATACTGGTATAATGTGTCAAATGGATATATGGTCGTGACATCTTTTATTATAATTTCAGGGCTAGTGATGGCTTTAATCGGTTCTCTCCTCAGTGTTCTTGTGGTAAGCATATACTTCAGTTAAATATTAGTTGCAGACAATATCTCGGATTGTGTAAGAAACTTGCACTTAATGTTTTCTTTTAAAGAAACAGGATTTGAAGGGAAAATACTACTTATATGCCTGAACGTGAAACAGCTACAATTATCTTTTAATATTTTTTCCTCGCTATCTTCGACCATAACGTCATCCCCTCACCCTAAATTTTTCTTTAGAAAAAAACCGATTTGCCTTCTGTCGTTCTGCATTTTCTTATTTAACGTTTTGCTTGTTAGCATTATTATACAAAAGCATTCGTTACTTGTCATATCTGTGGTAAATTTTCCTGCTTTGTATTAAAGATTCTTGAATGCTCTGCCACACATTGATCTTATGCTAAAATCTAACTTGACTAGTAAATAGGCATGGTAATATGGTATGTATGGTTATAGAATGTCAAGCTCCGGGTCTGGATTTAAAATTGAAGCTTCTGTATACGAGTCCAACTTTGATAATAAGGAATTGTATGATATGTTTAGCAAATTTTAGCAAATCGTAGTATACTGTGTAGTGAAATATTCATATATGTAGTCTAGGATTTGCTCTTGATTTTCTTGACCTATATAACTTTGCAACTACCTTTAGTGTTGACATAGATTGGTCATTTGCTTCAGCTAATATTGTAGATTTAATTCATGTAAACTGCTACATAATGCTGCATTGCTATACTTTTCAGGCAGTGATATTGCCAGCTTTATGTTTTCTAAGAATTGTGGGGAAAAAGGCAACCAATACACAGGTATATATCAGTTCTGCTGACCTTGTTAGTGTTAAGTTTTTCCAAGTGCAATGATCTTATATATGAAAATTGTTAGGGTAGTAAATTCTTTTCACCAACTTTGATTATTAATTTCAGAAGAGGGTCCTTTAGGGGGCACATGAAAATAACAGTTTTCTCCGGCAATAAAAATAACAGTTGAATATATGTTAGTATGGAGACATAATTATGAATACTTAATTGTTCATGTTAACTGGACATAACACAGCTATGAGTCTATGACAACATATATTTATGCCGTGTTACATTTCCCCGTGTCATTCAATCTTTTTCTCTTTTCTGCGGGGTACTTGCTGCTAGGGCCGTCTTTAAGGGTGCACGAGGTGAACTACTGCATAGGATCTAAAATTTGTCACGATTAAACTTTGGATAAATAGGGTGTCATAAAATATTTGTGACGATTAAACCGGAGTTAAATAAGGCTTCTATTTGTTTTATCATGGTTAAATTGCGACAAATCTACATAAGGCCTCTAAAAACTTGAGACAGTTTGTCGTCACATTCTTTTGTATTAAGTAGTTACAACTTGCAAGAGGAAAACAGATTTGGATTATAAGCACTCACACAATCAAGGATTTTTACCTTAAGAAAATTATACAGCTCATAGTTGAGATGTATTTGAAAATCAATCGGGTAAAGTTAAAATATGAGTTTAGCAAACATCTTTTGAATGTTTAACTAGTTTTGCTTGGCTGTAGAGTCCGAGAAAAACCATTCAATCCCGTATTTCACTTCTAAACTTTTCTATCCATGGAAATTCTCTCTCCCTAATTATTTGAATGGCATCATCTGCAGGTTGCTCTCAGTATTGTAATTACTGCATGGGGGATAGTTTGCGCTGGTTTTGGATCATATTCATCTCTGTTAAAGATTTTGCAGCAGCTCTGACAGCTTTTCAATTTCAGCAAGTGGACAGTTACTTATCTTTGCAGCCATTGGTATATGCATGCCCCATTGAGTTATACTCATGTGGTGGTGGTGAGTGGAATTATAACACTCTTCTTTTGACTGAACTCATTGAAAATGGGGTTAAACTAAAGCCGTTTAGATTGCTGTTTGAGAGCAATGTTTTTGAGCATTTTCTTTGTCATTAGCAGTTAAACACCATGGATGGTGGTTCCTTAATTACCGGGCACTAGTAATACTGTGAGCTACATCTCATTAGAATATCTTTTTTTTCTCTTCCTTCTTTGCGAAAGTTCATAATTTTATAGCGTATTAGATTATATTAATAGAGTTGTGTTACACACTAGTTTGACATCTATATTTTACCACAGTTTACAATTTAGATAATAACATAATTTAAATAATTGGTTAATTATGTTATATAAATAGTTAAATGAATATAATAAGATGTCACAATTCATTGATTATCAACCAAACACAATTAACTATATGGGTGAGATAAATTGGATGAATATAAATTGAATTGTTAATGGATTGACTAAATAATTCATTAATTTATTAATAATCTATTAAATTTTCTTTAAAAAAAGACATTCTCTGGTACCCTTAAGTTTTAAAAATAAAACAATATTAAAAAATTATGTAACTTTGAATATCCTCACGTGATTAGAGAAGGTATCGATATTCAATTAAATTTAAAGATACGTGAGTGTTCATCTTAAAAAAAAATTCAATTTCATTCAACGTAAAATCCATTCAATCTATCTATTAACAACTTTTTAACGGATAGACATCCATCTATAAATCTTTATTTGTCTTTAGTTTAAGGTTGGTGAAATGAATCTTCTCTTTGTTATCAAATGAGGGTGACCGATACTTAGCTTAACAACTTTGCGATTTTCTGAAAAGCGCAACAGAATATTCAGTTTGGATATCAGATTTGCGAGGGATGATTCCTCGGTGAACCTAAATGGAAGTGATGGTTTCCTGCCATTGAAATACATAAATGCAAGGTGGAGATATTAGTTCATTATCTAGTTTTAGTGTGTTGTGCAACAAATAAAGATTGAGACACACCATATTTATACAAATATTGGGTCACTTTGGATCAAAAATACCTTATCATGTATCAGGTGATATTTCGAAAATACATATCTGAATAAACCACACATTTTATTACAAAAAGGGTAACTTCGAAAATACATACTCGAATAAACCACACATTTTATTACAAAATGGGTGACTTTAGAGATGCATATCCAAAAATATGAACGTCTGAACCAGAGAAAAACATAAAGTTAATAAACAAGTACATGCAATGTAAACCAAACCAGAAAATTAATATGTATTAAATCGTATCAAGATTACATCATTGGCGATAATACATACAAAAGTGTATCGATTACAATCTAAAATACATCAAAAGATCTAGTACCGCATAAATCTACAGTTGGTTCCGCCTTCGATGCTTTCGTATTTGATTCTCATTCAAGCTCCATCAATTTGGTGAACTCTATCATCCTCTCCATAAGTTGATCAGACCAAGTTTCCGCCAATTTTGTTGAATGTGTCGTCCACTCGATCGATGTAGCTGGAATTGTACACCTAAGTTTCAAATAAACCTGAACAAAATGTAGGCCATTTGAAAGAAACTCTATGCATATGATCCGTCCGAAAGGATTTTTAGGTGGACCACTCCGTAATGAAAAAAATATCTCGGAGAACCCATATCTCGTCAGGTCGATGCATATTTTGTCATATGCACTTGCTATAACGTGGCACATTTTAGAGAAGCACATCCATTTTGAAAATGGTGCTTTACCCCTACGACAAGGAATAAGTGCATCTTGAATTGAATCAATTTTTTTGGACCCGTATAACTTCATGTAAAATTTCCTACGTGTTATCAACTCTTTTAAAAGTACGAAGCGGACAAGTTGGTGATCCTCCCCTCCTTTACCAAAAAATTCAGATACAACCTGGAAATCGTAATTACCATCATCCCTAACATTCACAATCCGCTCAATGTGTTTGTACATAAAAAGCGGCATTTCATCAATGAATTCAATCCCGGGCCTCAGTGGTGCAGGAGGTGGTGGAGTTAGTGGATGTGGTTTGCTAATGCGAGCATCCTTTTGAACACTTTTTTGAAATTTTAGAGTTGGAGAATCTGGGAAATATGAATCAACATGTTCAAAGTACGATGAAGACCGCTTTGTTGAATTGTCATCTTGAGTCAATTTTACCTTTCTAGGGGAACCTTTGGTTTTAACCGGTTACAAATGAGGTTTCAAATATGTGGTTTTTTGGATATGCAATCTTCCTCAACTTCTCTCTGATGTGAAATTTCACGGTGTCATCTGCCTTCATAAATCTATCTTGGATTATTTCCCACTCGGTCTGGATGCTTATACATGCTTTACCATCCTTAATTACACCATTATCATCATCAAACTAGAGTCTTTTCCAGTGATTGTACACTTCATCCATACGTATCAGGGAAATAATATTTTTTTGGAATGAGACAAGCACATGGAAGACCATAACTCTTCCTAAATATGCATCCACACTTTGCCTTATCCGCACCTGTCTGTTTCGCTCGCTTCACTTTGTGAAAGATGAAATTCAACGCCGACTGAGATATGCAACCAACCAATTGTGAATATAGAATGTTGTGTTTGAATCTATGTTCTTGCACCATTATGCTTCGACCAAAAGTGGTTTGTATTTATGAATATTGGTTTTGGAGCGTTAACCCCGTCCCAATCTCATAAATCACCCTTACTATCACCCAACCATTTCTTCAATGTCGAATGTGCTTATTCTACTATGTTAGTTGTTGTATTACCGAGGTGTCTAACATGATAGGTCCATGCACATACAATTTTATCCTTCACTTGGTCCAGAATAATACTCTCAACTTATTTCAAAAATTCTGGATATAGTATTACGAAGGCAACATACAATTCTTTTATGGATGAATTTAATATACCAGTTCATGCATCTATAATATTTTCCACCACCACACTTAGTTTGGCCATTTTTCCGTCTTCACCCTAGATTTGTTTGGTACCTACCACAACTTTTAGTCGACTCCACATATTTTTTGTAATGTGATATCAACAAAGTAATGCATAGGATGTAGGAAACACCTTTGCAACCAAATTTATTAGTGCGGTGTATCGACCAGTGGAAATTACCTTGGTTATGTTTTCTTGGTCCTTCAATAAAGTTTTGCACACTTCCAAGGCCTAAGTAACACTGACCTCTTTTTTAGATTCCAAAAATATAAATCCCACAGAAAAGTATTCTCCATAAAAGTACCACCAACAATTTTAACAAGCAGAAACTTATACTTGTTGGTCTTGTACGTTGCATAAATAATGAAGATAGTAGGAAATATGTTGAACAACTTGATACTTTCGGGATGACTCCATAGAATTTCACAAACAGTGACTTTATCATCACATACTGCATACCTAGAAACATAGTGGTTTTCGCCTAAAAGTTTCAAAAGTTGTTGCATTTTATATCTTGGACCCCTTATCGCCATGTTGTTGTGATAATGCTGATTGAATACTTGCTTGATATTTGAAACACTTTATGAGTGTTTCCGTTTCAAATCTGCAAGTATGTTTTTTGGCGCCACTCTGATTAAAGACATGTTTGAGAAAATTTCCTTATCCTTCGGTTTAAGATGACATACGATGGGATGACTGACTAAATTTATTGGCAAGTCATAGTTATATATTTTAGAAAGCACATTAAATTTCCACATCTCATGCATAACTTGTTCAAAAACCCCAGATCACCAATGATCTCGGAGAGAAAAACCCCTATTGGTTTTATCAAAGAAACCCCCAAAGAATCCTCAACCCAATTTGATTACAACAATCCTAAATTGTACCTTATCAACCTAAATCTAAATGGCACTCAATAAAAATAATTATGTATAATTGTTGTGTGTATGTATAGAGAGAGGTTGAAGATGATGAAAATCTCTTTGTATATTTTTGGTTTCATTGTTTGAAAAAGATGCATGCATGTCTATATATATATAGTGTGTTATTGTTCTAACCCAAAATTTTCCCTCCTATTTTCACACAAGACATACTCTTAGAGGTTCTCAATGCTCAAGGTTGACCAAGAATTGACCAGACAATTCTCCTCTTAAGGCAATGAACCCCCAACTAGGGTTTCCATTTTCATCAAGATGGATGAAATCCAATGGTCTCAAATTCTTTCCATGGTCCTAATATGTCTTCAATATCATCCATGCCAAGTTTCATGTCTTGCTCAATAAGTTTGCTCAGTCAATTGCTCAAGTATTGGAAAATCAACTATACTAGGTCAAAAGTCAACTGTGACCCAAATACAGTCAAACTTCAAGATTTTTTGGTCAACATCAAAATTTTGAAGTGATATCCATAATTTTATAAAGGGTTGATCACGATTCCTCAAGAAATGCTCCTAATTCATTAAAAGTCAAAAATGGCAAATTAGGGTTTATATAGGAAAAGTCAACCAAACTTTGACAAACATAACTTTCTCATACTTTATCAGAAATTTTCCAACCAAATCTCATTTTGAAGAGAATCCAATTTCCTACAACTTCTCTTCATTCCTCAAGTTCAATAAGTGCACCATTTGAAAGATACAAGTTCATACATTACAGGTCATTTTTAGAAAGTCAACAACAGCCACTTTTTTCCAAGACCTTTTATATCAAGATAACATCTTCAAATGAAAAATTTATAAAAAGAGGGATTAAAGTAGACATCTTGGGATTTCCAAAAAGTAAAATATCATCATCATGAGATAAAAATTGAACAAGTTATGGCTTGCACAAGTTGGGGAAATTTTGGAAATTTCAAGAGTGGTGTATTGAGCAAGTTTGAACTTTTGAAGCAATGGCCTGTTTTCTTAGGCCTCAAACATCTTCCTAAACTTATAAAGGACCTCTAATTTCACTCTTGCCTTGA